CCAATGGTGTCTCCATTTTGTTGTCAATACAACAGTCAATGCATTCACTCATAGCTATGCAAACACTCCGTACAGCCATACATGCATTCAGTGCTATGCAGTGCTGCCAGACTTGCTGTCAGACAGTATGTGCTGTGGGGGCGACACACAGGGGAGAGCTGTTTTGCTGTGCAGTAAAGCCCTCTCCAAGCAATCACTTCATAAATTCATTGAAAACTATTGATTCGATGCACTCTATTGTCTGGTTGTATGCCTTTCCTACTGTCAAACAGTCTACCCATCTGTATAACTGTATATCTCAGGGATTAGAGCATAGCTTTCAATAGGGTTCACAAAATCTTTAATTATTGAACCAATTCTTTGTCTTTCAATTTAGTCTTACTTTGTGAGGAACTGTCGTCAATGAGATGTTTGACTATAACTTGTTATTCAATCACTTTATGTCTAATCACAAGGAAATTCCAGTTTTTATATCATAGCAATTAGTAGTTTCACATAATTCTTGACAAATTTTAACAATAGTTATGTACTATATAATTTATGTTTTTATTCGTGATTATTATTTAAGCATTAAGATATTATGCTAGCATTTAAGATACTATTTAAGCCTTATTAGAATTATTACTGATGTTGCTGTATATTTATTATTTTGCTTTGTTTTTAATTTATAATTTGTTATTTAATTTTTAAGAATTTATTCTATCAATTATTTCGTAGAATTTATATATGATTACTTTTAGTAAATAAAATAAATTTTCAACTACTGTATATCATTTTATTTTGTTAGTCATTTTAAATTTAAATTAAGGTAATTCAATTTCATTTATCATTTTAAATAATAAAAATAAATTTTTAATTTTCCATTATAAATCATGTTTAGAAATTAAAATGGGTATCATGTGAATAATTTTAAAAATCATATTTTAAATAGAGTATTGATTAATGAATATAATATACTGTATATCTAGAAGTGTTCAGAGTATTGAACAAATGGCACAATTGGTGACTCGATTGTGACCTCTTCTAGTGTTAGACAGAACCGATATATTGTCACCAGAAAACAGGTCCTCTCGAAGCAACTCTTCATTTGCGGCCTAAATTATAGATTATATCATTAATGTTAAATTCAGTTGTATTTCAGTCTTAGTTCACCTCCAAAGGAGTCGTTCCCTCGGCTTCCGGTTGCTCTTCGGTATCAAATGGCGTTGCAATCGTAACTTCGGCCACATTTTGTGAGGCAATCAGTTGTTGAGGTGTTTCTCGAATTGGAGAGAATATATCTGGTAGCTGTAGATACCGGGGCGCAACTATAGGTGCGTCCACATAGCCGGCTATATATCGAGAAACTCGGTCTAGAATTTCTCTGAAACGTGATTCCGAGTCTTGAATTCTACCGATTCCTGAATGACTGCCCACACCTACCGGTTAAACATTTGAGTTGAAATAATGGATCAATTAAAGTGTTATATGGCTAACCGCAAAGATCGACGTAAACAATTGAACTCAAAATAACAGCCATAGCTCCGGGCGGTGGCCACGGAGTCATATCAATAATAATGGGTAGAATAGGTTTATGTAAGACATCAGCCAAAGTCACTTCACGGCTACACATTGGAGACGCGGCATAGCGTGGTGTGAGACAACTGAATGTGTGATCAATTGATAGCATATTGAGTATACAATTGCATTATAGAAGCAAATCAATACAAATATACCACAAAACAACTTTAGCTCTACTAATGCCGTCATAAATCTTTCCGTATAAGGAATCTCCGGCGCCCATAGATCTAAGATTGAAAATGTATCTCATTATATATAATTTCTAGAATAAGCAAATGGTAAATGAATTGGAATTTTATGCTATTAATATTGTAAATTATATTAAACCTGGTATCCATCCAACATGGAAAACCAGCTAGTTCCAACTTTTGACGCAATTCTATTAAACAAATATAAATTTAGTTTTAAAAACTTGCTTGAGTATAAATTATTTTAAACAAAAGGATCTTTTTTATTGAGATTTATCTAAAATAAGGGTTTAAAACTTGAAAATGATTTGAATACCTGACACCTGCTCCTGAGAATCTCTTTGATAACTGATGAACACTGGAGGTGCAGATCCTTCCGGTTCTAAATCATACTCAATAAGAGCTGCGATGTCTTCCCTCGATATCATCCGCAGACACGACAGAAGCACATCAACACAATAACGTGTCCGACCATTGGTCTCATACCAGTCCCTGAGTAGTGCCAGACAGGGAGCGATGTCGTCGACAAACTTTGTTATATCCCGTTCAGTATAACCCAGACGTTTAGCCAAAGCCATCCAATCTTTATTAGGATGATTGGGTGCAAGCAGTTTGGCGGCCTCCCTCATCCAGACCGGTTCCACTTGGAATATATGGTCCCAACCATTCTCTCGGTTCTGATTTTGAACCGAATTATTTGATTCTTCGGCTGATGTGTTAAATAACGTTAAATAATACATAAATTATTTTAATGAACGCTTACGTCCAGAATTGAAGGGCACGTGAGGGAAGTAGCGCTGAATGAATATAGTTCTCACTTGTCGACTGTATTTACACTCTACCACCTAATCACACAAATGGTATAATATTTGCTTACATTAATTTGAATTGATAACTAGAATTGTATTACTTTTTTAGTGAGGCATTCATTAAGGGGCAGAAAATGTAGGCATTCGATGTCATTGCATCCATCAATCTTATGAGGTTCACACGTGACATCGCAAGGACAGGGAACTACTAGTTTAAAGTTGAGCCGTCGGTAAAATGAATTGCGAAGATTCTCGAGTTCTGTTTCAATCAAATGCTGAACCTTTATATCAAGAATTACCAAATGTTAACTCAATTGTGAATATTCTGGTGAACCATACCTTAACGCAAACATTAGCTGTGGGACCGATGAGGAAGTTCTCGATCTGATCCGTCTGCAACTCATCGAATATTTTTATGATCATTAAAAATATTCGGTTATATTTGAGACAAATCTTCAAAAGGATGTCGTGATCGAAGTCCACAGCTATTCTTCCTTCAGAGTTATACATCTCTGGTCTTCGACCCCAACCCTGATTCCAAGACCAACGACTCAGTCGAACCAATAGTCGTGAAAAGAGACCCTTTTATTAAGATAGCAAACAAGAAATACATTAAATATTAGTATAACTTATAATTGGGATTCACTTACAACTGGCAGATGATTGAAATCAATGACTAATTGAAAGGACGAGTCTTGAAAAGAATCACTTGTTTGTGCGTTTGGGGGCTCGTTGTCGGGAACCGCTCTTGTAATCCATGGAAAGAAATATAATTTAGGGACAGATGTGTTGGCCGTCACATCGGGAGCGTCTTCTATTTGGATGTATGGCCGCAACTCAACTGAACAATCAATCATTTTTTTGTAACAATCATTGAGAACTTATAAGAATATTATATTTATCATAATATCCAACTGATTATAAATTGATTTAATATTTTAAATAAAACTTACAAATAATATCTAATTTTTCGAGACATCCCAAGAGAATAAACTTTTGTTCGGCATATTCTGTCCAAACTTTGTTTATAAGGTTTTCGCTAAAATAAGTGAAATATTTAATGAATAATTCACAGAAATTAAACGAAGAGATATGAAGTGATACCTAAGTATACCGTACTGTGCGTTGTCGTCATCGGGAACTTCTTTCACAAAAGAGCAGAGTTTGTAAATGCATTGAAGAAACCAATTGGGGTCTAAGATAATGACTCCGCAGTCGTAGGCGTTTTGTGAGTCAAAGAGGGAAAAGTAGCCGATGTGGTCGAGACAAAACACCTTTCCCTGGTTGTGGTAGAAGTGAAGGGCCGCGTTGAGGGCGTCGTATGACTGGAAGGCATCAATTCGAGAGCAGGCAAACTCATGTAACTGATTGATGTCCGCAAAATATATACCCCTTTGCTTTAATTTCTCAATTATCTGCTCGAACTCCATCCACGACGCCGGTATGTCTAAACTCACGAGTCGTTCTTTCACAACAATCTTCTCAATATTAGTCCTGAGTTCGTGCAAAAGTATGGGCTCGTCGTATGACATCTCATCACAATCTAATGCTAAGTAGTTTTCATTTAAATGATTTTTATATGTCTTTCCCTCTAAACTGGAATATATTTTGTCAAACGATTCTTTGATTATCTGATCCCTAGTGATGGGCTCGACGTGAACTGAATTGCGATGCGTCGCCACTAACAAGACTTGTGGCTGAAGTGTTGTCTGATAATCACAATCTTCTTCTTTATCCACCGGATCTCTAGGAGTGGGATATCGGCCGACAGTTGAATGGATGACAGTTAGCCACATGTGGATCATGTTTAGAGTACTTAAGTCTCCCTTATGTAACTCAGTCTATAATATTGTATTAACGAACATGTCTTTAATTAATGTGAAAATTAATTATTCATTCAATGATTTCTCACAACAAGAGTGTCATCCTTTGCGAGTTCAAGGGGTGCGTCCAAGTCTTCACTGATATCTATTACCAATACATAGACTGCATATGCAGTGAAGAATAACTAACGAATTATATTGAAATTAAATTATTAACCATTTCATGATAGATAATATAATTTATTGGAAAACCTGATGTAATAAGAAGTATAGTGTATGACCAGTGAAATCCCAAATATTAAATATAAATTTATACGAGCTATTCTTTGATATTAGTTCAGTTGCTTTCTTAGACTTTTCTGGATCTAAATTATTTTGATTTTTCAATAGATTCTCAACCATTTGTGTCAATTCTTCCGGCACTTCATTCTATAAGTTAATGTTAATTTTCATATACATTATAATGAATAGTCAACATTTAAAATTTTTATAAAAGTAAATATTATTCAGACAACCATTGATTCGCTCATTTGTTTGACTTCTTTGGAATAACTTCTTCTCATTTTTCTCGTCGAAAATCTCAACACATTTTTTACTAATTCTTTTGACGACAATTTTGGGACACATTTTGGGGTCATTTCTTCCATCTCTTCCTTATTTATTAAATTGATTTCTCTGACAATATTTTGGGCTAAATTTTGATAGAGTTCGCTCTCAACCAGATCTTTGAATACAATTTCCAATTGATTTGAAGGATTTGAAGCCTGAGATATAACCCAATGTCCATCGTTTTTGGAAATGCAGTGAATGGATGCGTCCAAACCGATGGACGGCTGGTTCTCTTCCAAACTAGCCATGAATATGCCGTAACGACAGACATATATCAAGAAATGAACACAAAATTAATAAATCACTTACGGGTTTGTTATAATAACTTTCTTTAGAGTAGATTTTCCAGAATTGTTGGGTCCGATGAGCATTATTCTGGTCCTGTTATAGGGAACAACACCTTCAGAGCCGCATTTGAATGCTGTTGTCATATCTGGACCGAGAAGAAGCATTTCACTTGACATGGGATTGTCATATGTAGACAATTGGACACAATTGGATGTTCCGTACAAATCAATTATCAGCCAAAGCGGTGAACTTATTGGTAGATCAGAGAAAAATATTTGAGTTAAATTTGGTTCTTCATTGGCCGTGATCTCCATGAGACCATCGTATGTGACATGGATTATGATATTAGAATCAATCCATTGTCCAGGAATTGATTTGATCCAAAAGTCTTCTTCATTACAGAGCCCTATAATATGTTTCGGCAAACAGTTGTCTAAAAAGTATTTAGGATTACGAGACGTGACGCCAAGAAATAGTGATCCCAACCATTGGGTGTCCGGAGACGAGAGTTTGATAGGAATGTAAGAATTGACTCGAATTGGATGGTCACTGAAGACAATGCCGTCATAGAAGGAGTTGATTCGCACCGCCTTTTGTGCGGATTCATCTAATTTGATATTCAAGCCGTGAATATCACAGAACTTCATCTCGCCAAAAGATCTGTTCGTATTGAAGATTCTGTATATTCTGTCGTGAAGGCGATCGCACCTTTACCTGAAGTGCAATTATAGTGCAAACTATAGGCAATGATATGTCTTAACCTAAGTATCCGTAGCAACACTTCTGTTTTCATACAAAACCATCAAAAGTGCAAAAAAATTCAATAAATGCCAATAATATTTGCAACTATTATATTATTATTCATTTTCAAATCTTTATTTTAATTACATTAATTTATATAAATATTGGAATTATTATTTACTTTAATTTATAATTTGACTAAAATCTCAATTTTTCCAAAGACTTATTAAATTGATTGCATTGCTTTTCAATTTCTAAATTTTATTAATTGAATATAATTAAATATTTAAATTAATTTAAATTTAAATTTCTTATTAAAATATGGTACAGTATAGCCCAATCGCTTATAATATTTAAAATATCAGTAAATGAAAAATATTTTTAATTCTTAAAAAGGAGATTTTATTTATTTTGTTCTAAAAATGAGTAAAAATATAAAAATTTTATATAAAAAAGTTGTAAAGGTCATTTTAGTTATATAATGAAATATGAGATTCTGATGTAATATAAAATAAAGACTATAATGAATGAAAAGGTTGTGCTTTGTGTGATGCGATGGGCAGAACTGATAGCCTTAAGAACCGTCACCTGATCCAAGACTTCGATATATGGGTTGGATCCGTCATCAAAATACATGGGACAGTCGTCATCTGGTAGAGCAATGGCAGAGTTATCACATTAATTAGCCACTATATAACAGACCAAGTACTTACGTTCCCTCTCGTACTCGGCCATGAGCAAGGCAATCTGTGCCCCCTCTCCCGATCGGCCACTCCTCACATCTTGTCTGATATGGCAAAAGGCGCCGACAGATAATGACATGAGAATGACATTGAGATCTGCCCTCTGATAGACCCAACACCGGTATTTGCTGTACGCGTCCAACGGATCGTATGTTACTAAATATGATTTGAGATTCTCTTTCCAAAAGCCAATGCATTGCATCTGATAGTCGGGTTCACTGTATATATCAACGGGTCGTCCGAAATGGTCAACAGATATACAATAGTTGGCATCAATTTCTATAATCTTTTTGTCGGCGTCACAGACAGAAAAGTCCGATATATTCTCCTTACAGTAGACGTTAGGTCTTGGGATTTGAGTCACTCCTCCCCTGATTCTCGTTTCAAAGGGAATGTCTCCGCTTTGATCGAATCGGAACTTACCAGCGATCGGACACTTCGTCGAAATGGGATTCTTGGCTATAGTTTCAGTGATAATCATATTATATACAAATACTGTCTATATATATCAATAATGTCTCAGTCGTACCAATCAAGAGGTCATACTTCCATTCCTCCGCGTCGTCAAACATATTCCACGCGCAGACAGTGGCGAACGTATCGATTATCATCGGCTGTCCCTTCCGGTAACGGATTATGTTGTGGTGTCGGGACACGAAGTCATAGCACACAAAATCCTTTTGGCTATAAATTATAATAATAAACTGTTTATATTCTGTTTACTGTAAGTGACTATTCAATAATCATTCAATTCATAAAATTTAAGGAAATTATTTTATAATCAATATCAGACGCCATACCACCCATTAATGCCGAGTCTTGCCATCACAAAGCGTGTGCCCCGTCTTTCCTGACAGACATAGATCTCTTGTTTGACTCTTCCGGTGTCGGGCCTCCACTTCTCAACCATATAAGTGGCGTTTATTGAGACTTCAGCGTCAAAGTTAGCGGTGTTCACCCAAATGCCAGTGAAGTTTTGAGGTAATGTACATTTCGCGGGAACCACTTCTGTCTTCACGGGAAACAATCGCAGTCTTTCGGGACCCTCTTGTGGTGATCGCAATGTATTGCATTCAGCGGTTATTGAGACCGAAAGAAATACGTCGTCGTCTCTGTTGGCCAACTGATCACAAAAACCAAATTATTTCAAATTATTTTAGCAATCATTGGTCAACACATACAAAGCATCGGTATTTCTCCTCAATTCGAGATTCTCTCGAGTTAACGACAGCGAAGTAATGATTTTTGCCGACATACCAGTCCCCTAAGCATTTAAATTGCACCTCAGCATCCTCTGTGTCCTGCATACCGGTGCACTTTCTATAATTCATTATAAACTGTTGGTTCACATTAAAGAATTGTGTTCCTATTGGTTGAGATTTTAAAATTAAATTGTTATCAATATATTAAGGATTGATTAATGTTTTCAAACCTGGGATCTGACAGGCGGTGATGTTTGCCTCGGGATGAGTGCACTCTCCCGTAAATTTATATCTGTTTTGATACCCAAATTTCCAGACGCCCTCCAAACTGGATCGACAGTTCTTTCCCGAAGGATTTGTCGCTATTTTCAATCAAAAGTTTTAATTCATTATACGGTATATCTATTGAATTATATATCATAACATTGAATCAGTTCTTACAGAACAAAGTAATCAATTCTTGATTGGTGTCTAATATTCTGCAGACACTTTGTATTGATGGTGTTTCGCCATTATTTAAATTAATACAACCGGCTGTTAATATAGCAAACAATTAGTTTAAATGGACTTTCGACTAGTTTTGGCTTACTTTCAATCTTCTCGAGAACATTAAGGGTTCGTATAATAAGGCGAACGCAATGATAGCAATCACTAATGGGTTGCGAGACAAACACTCGTGAGAATTGAGTTAATCATGGCATACATCCAGGCATACAAACCCTTGTCTCAGGACAAGCGTAAAGTTGTCGTAATTAGTGCTTTGCATTTGAAGACATTGTCCTCTATTGGACACCGAGTCGGATGTGATGGTAGTGAACACATTCTCCCCGAACTCTCGTGAGAACCACTCTCCCTGAAGAGTCTGCGGAATATCGCACAGTTGTCTATGGATTCCTATCGCATCCTGACCATAGTATTGACACTTTATTTCACTTAAATTAACTAAAATAGTAAATCCAATCAAATTTAATGTAAGACAACGCCCATAGCTATCAATATTTGCAAACTTTTTCAAACCGATTATTATTAGAAGTTTTAACGATAATGTCTTCAAATATAACATTTTTGGTCCAATATTTATGACTTTAGATCCTCAAGAAGTCATTCTTCAAATTCTTTTATTATCTCCTTTTCAAACAAAGTGTCTGATTGTCATGTAGTGATCAAAACTACTGCACAACACCTGTATTGAGAACTGAGGAAAGCCTTCCAAACAAACACCTCTTACTCCTCCCAAATACAGGTAACATTGCTTTCACTACCTGTCAAACC